GCCCCGATCCGGGTCCCGTGGTTCTGAACTGTTCCCCGGCGCCGATCTGGATCCCGTGGTTCTGAACTGTCCCCTGGCGCCGATCCGGATCCCGTGGATCTGAACTGTCCCCCAGCGCCGATCCGGGTCCCATGGTTCTGTGTGGTGCAGTTTCTTGCTACCAGCAGTGTTTTGATTTCTCGCAAACCCAGAACCAAGGCCAGTTCCGATCCAGGTCCCATTTCAGGCTCAAAAGCCCCTGGACCTGCTGGTTGGGCGACTTACTGCACTGGCCCCTGAACATGTGCCCCCAGCCTGCCCCACGGCTAATGGCGCCTCTCTTCTCTCTCCCCTCTGCAGATCCGCTCGCCCCACAGACCCAGCAAGGTGAGGAACCCCCACCCCTCTGCCCTGCCCCCTCCGCCCCCTCCACCCCACTGCCCCCCAGTCCTGCAGGACCTTGGGGTCAGATCTCACAGGGATCTGTGGGGATCTAGCGCTGGGGGGAGGCACCTGACGGGCCAGTTCTCCCCACCTTGGGTGCAGCCCCTCACGTGACTCAGCCCCGCCCCTGCAGGGAGCGGGGGTTGGTCTGGTGGAGCTGGAGGGTTGGGGAGCCCTGGGGGAGCCTGGTTCCCGGGCAGGTCTGTTCCTGGGGCTGGGGGGGGCCTGGGGCACATCCACAGAGCACCCTGCTGCCCGCCCTCCCGCCCCGCCAGCTAACCCTCCTCCTTGGTCCTGCAGTGAGGGAGAACGCGGCCCCCGCCTTCTCGTGGCACTGGTGGGCCGTGATCCTGGCCGTGAGCCTGGCAGTGGCCTTTGCCATCTTCTTCGTCCTCGTCCTGGCCCGGCTGCGCAAGAAGGAGACGCGGTTTGGGTGAGCGGGGGGCAGTACGGGGGCTGGGAGTGGGTCGGTGGGGAAAGGGGCAGGGAATGGGGCAAGGGCCTGTCCCCTCTAGCGGGTGCCGGCTCCCATCCAGCCCCAGGGCAGGGACTGGCTGGCTCAGGGGGGTGGGAATGGGGCAGGGGCCTGTCCTCTCTAGCGGGCGCGGCTCCCATCCAGCCCGAAGGCAGGGACTGGCTCGCTTGGGGATCCGGATGTTGCAGGCTGGGGGGTCTCTCTCACTGGCTGTCGCCCCCCACGCAGGGAGGCCTTTGAGCCCCGAGTGGAGCAGGGCGAGCTGGTGGTACATTACCGTGTCCGCAAGTCGTACAGCCGTAGGACCACGGAGGCCACGCGTGAGTACCTCACCCGCCACGCCCCGGCCCACGGCTCCACCCACTCACCAGGACCTGACAGTCAACCTGGGGCCGGCCCCCGGCCAGGCGGGTCCCGGCTGCCTCATTGTACTCTGGGCATCTCCCAAGAGAGCATGGGCCAGAGACTCGGGCGCCACGCGGCTCCAGACACCTGGGTTCCCATCCTGGTTTTGCTGCTGGCTGGCAGGCTGCCGCTGGGCCAGACACTGGCCCTCTCCGGGCCTCGTTCCCCTCCACCCCCTGGTATTCAGACTGAGAGCCGTCTGGGCAGCGCCCGGCACGACGGGGCCCCAATTTCGGTTGGGGTCTGGGTAGCGCCCGGCGCGACGGGGCCCTGATCTTGGTCGGGGTCTGGGCAGCGCCCGGCGCGACGGGGCCCTGATCTCAGTCGGGGTCTGGGCAGCGCCCGGCGCGACGGGGCCCTGATCTCGGTCGGGGTCTGAGCAGTGCCTGGCGCGACGGGGCCCTGATCTCGGTTGGGGTCTGGGCAGCGCCCGGCACGACGGGGCCCTGGTCTCGGTCAGGGTCTGAGCAGTGCCTGGCGCGACGGGGCCCTGATCTCGGTCGGGGTCTGTGCCCCATCCTTACTGCGCCGGAGCCTGACCCCTTGTCCCCGCCCTTGCGCCACAGTGAACAGCCTGGGCATCAGTGAGGACCTGAAGGAGAAGCTGCGGGACGTGATGGTGGATCGGCACAAAGTGGCCCTGGGGAAGACCCTGGGTGAAGGTAGGTGCCCTGCACCCCATGCTGGAGGGCAGCAATGCATTGTGGGATCTGCTACCCCCGATGGATCCATTGGGGTTGGCGGGTTCCCCCCCATGCGGCCCAGGGAGCCAGGCAGGCGGGGTGCTGGGGGCTGCGTGTTCCCAGCGCAGGGAGCTGCAGGTCAGGTTCCCCTCGCGCCGCCGACGTGGCCAGGGAGCTCCAGCTTTGGAAAGTTGCGAGCCCGGCTGGAAAAGCCCCTGGCTCGCGGCTCCAGCGCTCCTGGTGTTTCCAGTCCCCGCCCCGGCCCGATTCCACAGCCCCATCCAGCTCCCGGCTTGGCAGGGAGATATTCCCCAAGGGAGCGGATGTAACCCGTTCCGGCCACATTTCCCCCCGCTGTCGGCACAGGGAATTGGGCAGTGGGGTGCCCCCTGCCGTCAGGACAGAGATCTGGGGGGCAGCTGGGGCTGGTAGAAATGGGGCTCTGCCTGTCAATTTCCCCACTGAGGTGCAGGCCCCCGCCCCGAGACAGGGCCCCTGCGGCCCCCAGGTGGGCATGTAGCTGGTCTCTGTCCCATCACCCCGCCCGGCCCGGCCCAGCCAGGATCAGTCCTGGCGGCTGCTGGGTGTGTGGGTGTGTGTGTGTGTGTGTGAGAGAGAGAGAGCATGTGCACTGCTGTGCGTGTGTGTTTGTGCTCTGCTGGGTGTGTGCGTGTGTGCACAAGCTGCTGCCCCCTGCTGGCTGCCTGGGGAATGGCCGTGCTGTGTGTCCCAGCCCCCGCACTGCCGGGGATCTCACAGCCCCTCTGC